TTACATTCGCCGCAGCTTTCTATTGGAACGGGAGCCGCTACCGCATCGGAGCGCCAACAACAAGAAATTTTACACAGCCGTCGGGCACAGGCGCAACCGTAATGGCGGACGCCGCCATCTTGGAGGGGATGGCAATACGTCAGGGCCCAACACAATCTCCGCTGGAACGGGATTCCATCCCGACGTCAGAGATATTTTTGCAACGCTACCGCGGAGTTCGGGATTTTATCACAAACCTAACGGGCACGTGGTGCGAGACAACGCGGCTTTTGAGCCTGACGTACAGTCACGAGGGGAAAGCGGGCTGGCAGATGATTCGCCAGCCTCGTCTTCGTCCCGAGGAAAAACTAGTCACGAGAACATTCAAGCCGCTGGGCTGGTTCGTAGTCGTAGTCTTCACAGTGACAGAGGCTTGCGACGGCAATCAGACGCTGAAGACGTAGCGTCCGCCGGCGATCAGGCAACCGCTTCTCAGAGCCGCGGGGAGCGAGGCTCTACGGGCGAGACAAACTCGGACTCTCACTCCAGTACAGACAGCACGGGAGGACAGCTCCCAAATCCTGACGCGAAACCTCTAAACAGGTTACACAGGCAGAATTACCCGTCGTTTCTCTCAGAGACAGTTAGCAGAGAGAAGTTTGCTCGACAATATGGTCCCTTTCAAGAGTATCGTCTACCTCAGCTCACGCGCTCCAGTAAGGACTTGTTCAGGAGGAGAGATGAAGAGGAGGAGTACGCCCCCAACGGACGCCGTCTTGGGAGCATTACTACATGGGAGGGAAAATTCTCTGTGTTGCAGGACGAGCCACCCTTTAAGTGGCGGAACGTAAGCGCGGGACCCGCTTTTAACCCCCACCGACCTCAGCCAGCGTCTGAGAACTTTTATTTAGGTAAAAAGCGGTATCCCGACGTACGGGAGATTTTCACCAACACGTGGGTTGACGACAGTCGGCGCAGGACCATTGCAAAGAAACTGTCCTATTTTAGCAATTCTGATTCTAGTCTGGAGTCTTTATCGGATCCTTTCGAAAACTTTGGTGCTGCTACCTTTCCGAAAGCCTCTAAACCCCGGTCACAAGAAGTGTCGCAATCAGCAGATCACAAAAGTGAAAGTTCTAGTAGTGTTAGCGAGGATGTCTTTATTCCTTACCCACATTCAGCATCACTGAATAGAAACAATTCCCAATCTCCTTGGATACATGCTGATGTCACGGATAACATGACGTCAATCCCGTTTAATGTGACGTCAATCAGTCACAATGATATGCCGGAAGTAGTCGATGATGATGTGTCTGCGCATGCGGACTCGCGTCTTAGCACAAACATTCGAAACAAGGAAAGTGGTGACTCTGAAAGGAACTACTATTACAAACCTATCAGTATTACGCAGTCCCCAGGTGGATCTTTACAAGCAGGTGCTTTTCATCCAGTTGTTTCTTTTTCGTATGACGATGACGGAAGTGCGCATGTGCAGATCAACACGCCACCGCGCAGACGACATAGAATTTTTGGCTCAGGAGAACCTAATGAAATTAAATTTCGAAGGAAAAGATTCTCGAAAAAGAAATTAGTGTCTGCAATTTTGTGTGGAACATTTTTATTTTTATTAGCATCCATCCTTGTTATGGTGTATTTGCTGACGTTACCTGGTGAGTTCTTTATGATAGATGGCGCTATTTACTGTAAGGGGCTATTCAGACGGTCCTAAAATATTATGCAGATAGAAAAAATTAAAACAATTGATATTTTTAGTTTTGCCACACAAAAATATTCATTTGATTGTATTTTTAAAATTAGCTATTTTGACAATTCCAAACTCAGTTAGAATGGTATTCTCCTTCTTTTCAATATATGGTGAAAATAAGCAAAGAATCGAATATGTCAAATTTTTTCACCTACAGCTAAAGTACCAGCCGATATACCGTCTACAACCACTGCCACAACGAGGCCACTGCCAACAGTGCCACCTATCGTCACGACAACAGCCCTACCGAACACGACAGAAATTAGTAAGTAGAACATTGTCAGTTTAAAGTAATCCAATGGTCAGCAAATTAATATGATATATAATAGTTAATAAAGATAACACTTTCAGTTTTTTGTACTATAAATCTGCTCCGATAATCTCCTCTATTTAATTGTTGTAAAACATTCGTGTATGATTGATGTCCATTGTAACCATTTTGAATTTTTTCAAGTACATTTATTTGATGTTGATTAAAAATAGAAATTATTGAGTTAAACAGAAAAAGAAAGATATGTGAAATAAATGTAAATAATTTATAGGTTTTTATATTAAATTGTGATGTATATATGAATAGTTTTAAGACTTTTGCGTTGTTTCTTTTGTAGTCATAGGTTTTAACGGCTCGGTCCGGATAGTCAATATCCAGTATACGCCAGAGCTGGAAAATAAGGATACCATACAGTACAAGGAGAGATCCAGAGAGTTCTGTTCTACGGTAAGTGACAATATTCCGAGGTTTTTGTCAACACTTTTATTTATTTGGAGCTGTTATAGACTTGAATCTGTGCTATCTTATCAGGGAAATTAATGTGGTTATTTATAAATATTTTTAAAGATGGGCAGAGAGAGAGAGAGAGAGAGAAGAAAAACCAAACATAACACACTGAATCTGTTTGTAATATGTTTGTGTAATGATGCCAAAAGCCACCTTTACACTCTCTTTTTCTCGCCTTACTTAGTGCAAATGTGAGGGCAAATAATATTTTGACCATCGAGTATCCATTGAGAGTTGCTCAATCTAATACCGGTTTTTAGAACTATACTGTTGGCAATGAATGCGTTTTGAAGTTAACAGTAACTCGAAGAAAATTCAAAATGAGATACTGTAATTAGAAAGAAAGCTAAATGTGGCGATTTCACGATAAGGTCGGTGCTAGAATTACGAAACGAAAACTAAAAATGAGTGAGTGACATAAAGAATCCATTCTTCATATCTTATTACTTGCGGTAAATGCTCCGTCCGCCCAAAGACATTTTAAACCTTCTCATACCTGCGTCCCACCCAGTCTTGTAGACACATTATTTGGAAGACGAAATTAAAAGTGCATATATTATAGCTACTCTTCAGCTTCTGTTGCTCCACCTAAGTTTTAATGTATAAATTAAAGATTAGACGAGGAGGAGTGTGAACGCAAAAATTTCAGAAAATAATCTGGTGGATTTTGATCACCTGGTAATTTAATATGATTTCTGAACTTTAAAGGGTGGAATTAGGTTATTATAGTGCTGTTAGTATAGACCGATGCCATTGCCCATAGAAACAAACGGGAACAATGACGCTTTGCTAATTTTTTCTGCTGTCAGAAAAAAAAAATAGTATGAAATTTTCGACAACTTTATTCCAGAATGAAACAAATATATTGCTGTTGACAAACGAGGTCACAGAAACGTACCTAATAAGACTACATACAGTTATATATTGTATTTACTGACAAAACAAAGGAACAAAAAAATCATCTCACTGCATAATTTTAATACAGAATGCAAAACCATTTTAAGAGTCTTCAAGTGTATTGTGAACAGAGGTGCACAACGTATAACCTGAACCAGTGTTGTTACTGCTGCTAACACACGTTGTTGTTTATTGACATCTTGTTTTTTTTTTCAAGGTGGACGATGCCTATTTGTCCAGCGACCTGCAGGACTCCTACCAGAGCTGCGTGGTGACAAAGTTTGGGTGGGTACCCTGGCCACGCGGTACTATCTGCGTAAACCATCATTACATTAGAATAGGCGTGGTTAACTTCTCGCTTCCTTGGCACGACGACGATACAGGGGGGGACAAAAAAGTTACCACTGCTATTTCTATAAAATGAAAGGTAGCACAGCAGTTGGACTTTATCATTAACCTACCATTAGACACAATGAATAAGCTAGGTTACATACATGCAAATGGGTCTTCCATGTACTCGTCCGCACGCGCATTGGCCTACACCAACGCTAACATGTTAACACACGAACAGACACACAGGCATTTTTGTACAAAATATTTAGCAAAGAGTAAAAATTTTTTTGACGCCCTGTACTATCCAGACAATCTGAAAATGTCATCGCTGAGGCTCGCTGTTATGCAAATACAAGTCTGGCCGCAAGCAAATTTGCGGTTTTCCTTTAGAAAATGACTTCTGACTAAAAGAAAACCTCGAATGTAATTAGGGGCTTTAAGGTGTCAAAATGTGATGTAGCGTTACTCTTAAATTAGTGTTTACCGGTGTTTTTCTTATCTGCTATTCATGTTTCTCCTTGAAAGTTTGTAAATGGTATTGTATTTGTTTCCACAAAATTCGCGCACATTTGTTATCGTGTTATCGTGTATCAGTTATTGCTGTAGGCAAAACTTGTATTAAGACTTGGACAAACAAAATTTTTCCTTCTACATACACTTTGGTTAAAATGTCACATCTACGAAATTAATAATTGTTTCAGAATGTTCAAAAATATATCTGTCAAATTATTTAATCGAGCTGGAAAGTATGGACAGGAATTGGCATAAATATGAACACTTCGTTATATCTTTAAGTGCAACATTCTTCCCAGAATTAATCCTAGACAAAAAGGGATTGTCCTTGGGTAGGTGACCTAACCACATGGGACACAAGTAGTTGGTGACATCGTTGCTGCATAATTATAAATTAAAGCCATATCCAATTTATTTCTTTGTTATTGTGAACACATTTGGGTTTATTTTGAAATAAAGAAGACCAGACTTTAAAACAAAGGAACCACTTTTCCGTCACCTAAACAATGACTTAGAGGAAACTGACAGCAAGTTGAGTTGTGATTAGTTGTAGGCCTACCTTCATTATAAAAAAAAACCTATCTATAGATCTGGTGAAAAGAATTCTCTTCAGAAAAATAACGTCCCTTCATATTTGTCGTCGTTACCAGGAAACACTGAATTCCACCACGCCTTATTGTGCAGTGTTTATGTTACAACTTGTGGAACAGTATATTTATAGTCAGCAGTATATTTAAGCATTGTTATCTTCTCATTTGCGTGTCTGTTCTACAAATAATACTTTTAAATCTTCAAATCTCGCGTGACATCTGTACTTTTGCAATTGTCACTTGATAAACTTTCCTATGTCTTAATTACAAAAAAAATGTGTGATGAATTTTTCTTTGTGCTTTGGTCGGGAGCACTGACCGCTTGATGAGTTCTGGACTTTGTCGACCATTGTCCAAAGATCTAAGAAAGTGTGGTACTTTTGCCAAGATATTTTTTTTTTTTTTTTTTTTTTTTTTTTTTTTTTTTTGCCGCATCAAAATTTATGTATACAGTTCCGTTAGTGCATTTACCATTAAACGTTTGTATTCTTTCGAAAGAACGCCTTTGGGTTTAATATTTCTGGTATCTCTTTTGTACTTTTTGTGAAATAAAAAAAAATCCAAAAATGAATTTGTAAAAAAGTTAACGTCCTTGATTTGAGCCTTTTTTGATCATATATTTTGAAATTCACTTGGGAGTTTTGCACAGTTCAGAAAGAAGTCACCGTTGGCGGTCAGTGTTCCCGAACCATATTCAAATGTATTAAGGTGACGGGTGCATGATTTCTCGTACTAATCTTAATTGTGTTATATTGAGTGAAGGCGGGGAAGATTGGCAATCCTTGTTTATGAACACTGAATATGTTCGTCTTTTTCTAGTTAAACTGGAAGTAGAATAGAATAAAGTTAGATCAAAATTAATCAGTATTAGTAGTTTAGTAAGGGGGGAGGGGTCAGTCACCGATCTGGAGGTTGATTCTGCTCTTTGGAGATCGTGCATCTTAATGGTGATTTTGCAGATTAAATTGCGACTATGTCGAAGATATGCCAATCTTCTTTGAATTAACTGCATGTTTTTTTTCTTGTTCCTTCGCCCATTCGTGTTAAACCAAAATGTGATTGTTGTTGTTTTTATTGTGTCTTGTTTCTTTATGCGTTGCTTGCATGTGTGCGTTTTGTTGGCTCCTCCTGCGATGCTGGCGACGCTGTGTGGAGAACCTGCGTCAAAACACTTGACAACACACCCGATATTTAGACCTTAGAAATATGTCTTTCTGAACATTACAGCAATATTATACATCGCTCCCTCTAAATATATTTATTTTCAAACACTCTAACAGTATTTAATTAATTATTTTGTATTGATTGTTTTATTTATTATTTAATTGTACTTGGGGAAATAATCATACACACTGCCCCCAGCCATGCACTGCAATATAATTATTTTATAAAACTTTGGAATTTAACAACCTATCTCCCATTTTATTAATATTGGCCTTTATAAGATTTCCCTTCTTCCAACAATAAGAAGCAAAACCGGAATGGGTTAGGACAGAGACGATTAAATTTCCTCTGAATTCGAAACTATTTGTTTGGGGCACTTTTATTAGTTCACATTTTATTGATGAATTGGGCAATACACAAATTGCTTACAGGAAATAATAAATGGACAAATAAGAAATATGTAAAGAAAATTCATTTCTTTTCGTCCCTGTGAATCATCCTTGTACTTTGGATGTGCCCTACGTGTACTTTAATGGCGTAATTGTGTGTTATGGAAAAATACTGCTCGTCGACCACATCATTTTGACTTGATTCCAGCCAAGATAGGCCGTGTCAGACACGCATGGAATCACCGGGTCCGTATCTCGCATTCCAACTCCAACTGTTGCTGAAAATAATGACTGTGGCCTTGGAGATACCGATTTTTTTTTGTACAAGTGTTGTTTTTTTTTTACAAGTGTATGTTTTATGTAAAGATGTTAAGATTTTATGTCGCAGTTGTAGTAAGCCATATGAATGTGGCCCTGCCCACGAAGTGGGTTGGCGAGGTAATGGGTTGTTTGTTTTTCTCGTTTGTCGTTACACATTTTAGTTGGCTAGATAGGATAGCTGATGTAACGTTTCTAGGCACTAAGGCGAGGATTTAATATTTTTTAGATAAAGACAAGGTAGACTAGTCCTGTAGAATGTAAATTACTAAAACATCGATAGATGTCTCTAGGAGCTGGTCATGGCTAATTAAAACGCCCTTCATTGGTGTTATCAAGACACGGATTTCACATCAACTCTTCTTGGTTAACAAAAATGCACTCTTGTGGTGTAATTTTTATTGGGTTCCATGCTAGCTCATCTTGGTAAACTAACGCTCTCTGGCGCTGTTATTGGAAAATGGGTTCCAAGCTGGCTCGTCATGGTTAACACAAACGTCCTTTGGCGGTCAGGTGGTGGTAGTAGTATTGGTGGTGGTATGTAGAGGTGGCAGACGAAATCGAGGCTCTAGCGGGGAGAAACAAAACAAAAACTAGCCTAGAAGGAATTCATTTGGAAGGAAGGAAGGTGCGCATGTCGGGGTTTACGGTAAGAGGCACGACTGAGGCAAATATGCGGCAGCACATAGAGTTAAAACCGTGCACACTTTTTCACCATTTCAGGAACGGCAGTTTAATTGTCGATTTTGAAGTGAGATTCAAGCCGCCATCCACTGAGAGCGAGTCGCACAGGGTTGCTCACCTCGAGGTCACGCATGTGCAGAACACCCTTAACGAAGCATTGAGCACGCAGTCTAACAGTCCGTACACCATTGATAAGAGCTGGAACTTTAGATTTACTAAGTTCAATGAGACTGTCGTGGTTGCACCTACAACTAGTAGAGACACTAGACTAAGTAGCACCACTAGTTCTACTACTACCACCTCTACTTTTACCACCACTGATGGATCAACCGACGCGCCTGCCATCTCAGTTACAACCCCCTCTACTACTACTTCTTCTACTACTACTACCGCTGCCGCTTCTGAAACTACTGCCTTTCCGACCACTGTGTCGTCTACTGATCCTACTACTGCTGCCTCAGTAACTACCTCTTCATATACTCCGTCTACTGCTTCAAACCCAGCGGCTATCGCTACTGCTACTACAACTGTGCCAAACACGCCTCCGTCAACTGACACGGTTGATACGACCCCTGCTACAACGGCTACTACCACTATTGACACCACTACTACTCCAACTACTACTACTACTACTACTACTACTACTACTACTACTGCCATAACACCTACCACTGCCCCTTCCACTACTACTACTGTTGCTACTTCTACCCCAATTACACCATCTACTGCAATTACTACCACTACCCCGACCCCTACATCTGCTACCACAACAACTGCATCCACCACCACAACCACTACCACGCCTACAACTACAACAACTACTACGTCTGCGTCTTGGAGTATTAACACGTCGCCTGCCGCATCCCAAAACCCGTCGCACAGCTTCTACTGCCCCTTGCCCAGCGGGTTGTTCGCCCACCCAACCGACTGCACCAAGTTCTACAGCTGCACGGGCGGCCGTGCTACCCTCATCCCGTGCGGGCTGGGCCGCATGTGGAGCCAAGCGGAGCGGTTCTGCATTGCGTACGACATCCTCGGCTGCTGGGTCGCTATAGCGCCCACGTCACTGCCGTCGGTACCGCCCACCTTGCCGTCCGACATCGTCACCGTCGGCCCGCCAGTGGACTGCAGCAGCACTGGGTACTTCCCCTACTGAGGACTGCCATAGGTTTATTGTGTGCGATGGTAACAGAGGCGTGCGGCTGGATTGCTCGAGGGGTACAATGTGGTCCCAGGCCGACAGCACGTGCATTGCGCTGGACGAGTCCATTTGCCCGCCGCGAGAAGACGAGGGGGGATTCCATGGATATACGGCACGGCAGGCTGTAGGCGGCGGCGTTACTAACCAGCAAGGCAGCGGCAAGTAGTAGTAGTAGATGAGATAGGCACGGCCGTGGACGATAGATGGCGTAATATGTCTGCCTGGATTAAAAAAAAACTTGGCATTGAGCTGGCACATTGTGTCGTGGCATTCTGTTGGCAAATATGACTGAGTTTAAGAATCGACGTTAGATGGCACTGATCGTCTGCAAGCCAAGACTAACTCTTCACATTAACCAGTACCAGCAAGAAATGGCGTTGTCTACAGACCATGCGGCATGCCAAACTGACCCCTGTCAAATCGCTGTATTTGGTCTCCTTGCATGTTGATCATTTGATTCTGTTCTCACTCGTAGAGGCAACACCAGTAGACTGCCAGCACCTTGCCGCGCACTGCCGTTTAGGTAGCAGTGATCTAATAGTTCTACATACTATTTCAGGAAGGGGAGCGTAATCGTAAAGTTTACCGTAGCGTTCAAACCCGTCCCACGCGGGAAAATACGACTGGATGGCAAGAATGAAACGGTCTCCCTAGAAGACGCAGTGTTTTCGACATTGAGTAGTGCGTTTGTGAATAACTCAAAGGATAATTACACATACGATGCCCCATCACTGTCACTGCAGAGGATGCCAGTTTATGCGGCTCTGCCGCCCTCTAAAAGTCCCACCACGACAGTGGCTTTTACTAGCACCTCAAAGCAGGCAGTCACGTCAACGTTTCGACCTAGTGCTATTTCTACTGAAACTTCTTCCGATTCAACAATACAATCGTTTACAACACCGACACCTACGAAATTACCAGAGACTACAAAACCAGCAAGCACATCACCAACAACAACACATCGTGCACCAACACTTATGTCAACCAAGCTGTCATCAACCGTGACACAATCAACAACAAATCTACCTGTCTCCACTGCACGGTCTACCTCAGAGGTGACAATTTCTGAAGAATCGGTCACAACACCATCGACAGTCTCACAGTCAACAATGTCAGAAACAGACGCACCACAATCACAAAGCACAACGCAGTTAACAACACAATCAGCTATTACTCAGTCTGTTACACATCCGTCGATTACAACTGAAGAATCAGCTTATACTTCTGTAACGGCACAGGACACATTGTCAACATCTGATTCAGTTACGTCAAGTTCAACACCCACCAGAATAACTGGAAAGTATACAACGCTGTCTCCAACGACGTTTCCAAGTTCAGAAGCAAGTACGCAATCAACAGAGGCTGCAGATGGCTCCAAACCCTACTCGGAGAAAAGTACCACATCTCTGTCTTTTGTTAGCAGATCAACTGATGCAGTGACTGTGACAACTTCACTTAGTGGCGTCACATCACTGGGACAAACGACATCAGATGGTACCAGCGCTCAGTCATACAAAACGTCTTCCCGAGCTGACGTCAGTGTTTCGACATTAAGTTCTCACGTCACTCCACCACTCACCACACAGAGTGAGTATGACATCACCACAGCGTCTCCGGAAACGCCGTATGTTTCTACGCGTAATGATTGGCAATCAACTATTCCGGGCGTTACCACTGAAAGCAGCATGAGACTTACTACACGTGCTAATGCAGCTGGCACAACAGACTCAGACAAATCTAAGACCACCGTCGTTAATCGATTCAGTAGTACTGACACATTTGTTAGTGGTACCACCAACTCTGTTGGAATAAGCACAGCTGCAATTTATACAACTCAAACCAGTGACGGCACGACGGTCGGAACAACTGAAACTGGCATTGGCACGTCTGATATTTTGACTACTGATCCTGCCCCTCTCTCGACCGAAGCAATCACTACTGCCTCATTGTCTTCACCACAAACGCCACAAAGTACACAAACAACACACGCGTCGACACAAAACAAACCTGTCACTACCAGTGCCACGGAAGCGCCCCCTACAGTCCAGACGACCACAGGGAGTACGTTTGTTTGTCGGGAACAACATGGGTTTTTTCCCGATCCGACCAACTGTGTGTCATTCTATGCCTGTGTTGACTATATGCCGATCAACCATACTTGTTACCGCGGGAGGATGTACAGCCATGCTGAGAGAACATGTGTCCGCTACGACCCGGTCGTCTGCGGCGATGTGACCACGTCACCTGCCCAAGTTTCTACGTCATCAACCACAACCTCGTCACCCGTGACGCCGTCTACGACGCTAGCAACCACGACCTTAGCAACCACACCCAGCACCACCACAACCACCACCACCACCGCTTCATCAACCACCCGCGCCCCCACCACACGTAGACCCATTAGGGGCCCTCTAGACGGCGGGAGCAACCCTTTTGGGTCGTTAAACGTTGAAGAGAACCCAGCCCCCACTATGAGGCAGCCCTATATGTGTTCTTCAGCCGGCTGGGTCCCAGCCCCTGGTAGTTGCCTTAGGTTTATATCCTGCAAAGGGGCAGGGCAGTTGGGGGAGTTCTATGACTGTCCTCCCGGGTTGATGTGGAACCAGGAAGAGCGCGGCTGTTTCCCCTTTGACCAAGAGCTGTGCGACCAGGTGTTAACGTCTGGCTGGGAGTGAGGCTTGATTACACAGGGTATGTTAATATCGCAGGTGGAACACCGTAAATTACGCTCTTGGTTAAGTAGGTCTACTTCTGCCTTAGGGATATAATTTAGGGTTTGCATTGAACACCTCAGACACGATTTAACATGTCATGCTCAAATTTGGTAGGCCATGCGCTTTTTGCACGGTATTATTATTATTATTATTATTGCTTTGGATGGAGAAGAGGCGCCTGTAATGACATATAGGATTTATTGGGCATGTTTGGAATTATGTTGCATAATTATGAAATAAGTTGACGAACAATAACATGCGGATTAAACAAAATATCTTTCTTATAAGTGCAAAACCCATGCCACATAAAAAAACCCAGCATCTATACATCGATTCAATACACGTAAGTGAATGTAATTTCATAGTTGACTTCATTCTCTCATTTTGCTGTGTGCATTCTTGTTTTCTAGAGTAGACCTGTGCTTCTACTACATTTTAGTACAGCTATGAAGCACCTCAAGCTGAAGCTTATACTCGGCGTTGATTTGCTTGTTTCCTCTTGTATGCACCGACAATTATCTTGCTGTGTCCTGTTTATATTATGGATAGGTTATTGTCATGAACGCTGCATGCACGGTTATTATGTGTATATTGATAGTTAATATCTGCTAATTGTTTATGTTATGCATATTAGGTAAAATGCACTCGTATGCATGTTTACGGTTTTTCATGAAATGGGTACATATGTGTCGCATATAGTTTTAGAGAAATCCCATCGCCTCATTACATATTCTCAAGCTTTCAAATTATCACATATTCATGCTTCTGTAATTAAAAATCAACTCACGCTGTTTTAATTTTTCCTTTGTGGAGCTTAGCTGAATACTGGAGAAGCTTAAACAGCTGAAGCAATTAACTGACGCTTGCTTTTCGTAATGACAAGCCGTAATATGCATCTAGGTCGTAGGGGCTTTAAGATCCTCTGCAATCATGTATTCGTATTTTCCTATGACGGAGGGAGGGATGGAGGGTGTGGAAGGGGATAATCTCCAGACTACCCAGTAAAATGTTTTCTCTTTCGCCATGAAACGGCAACACTGATTAAATTTAGAATTTGACCTCCTGCTTTCCAGCATGTCGAATTTTCTTCGTCGTGCTGTTTGTGCATTAATCAATTTTTTTCCAATCATTTACAGAAACGGCAGTCTGATTGTAAATTTTGAGGCCTATTTCAAAACCCAGCTGGTTGCCAAGGAGGAAGTACTCGAAGCGTTCAAGACAGGGATGAATAAGAGCAATTACACGATAGACGCATCTTCCTTGAGCATGGAGAAGATGAGGAGTCGCTCAACCACGGCGCAACCAACAACCACATCCACTACATTGACTTCACCTACCACGACGACTACCACACAAACTACAAGTACCACGCAAGCCACAACCACAACCTCCACAACAACCACGCCCTCTACAACCACGACTCCGACAACCACACCAACACCAACCACCACAACCACGCCTACTCCCTCGACGACAACCAGATCGGGCGTTTTCACCTGCCCCTCTGAGACAGGGTTCTATGAACACCTGACGGACTGCACTAAGTACTATAGCTGTATTGGGTGGAGGATGCACCTCCTTGAGTGCGCGAGTGGTCGCATGTGGAACCAGAAGGACCTTTTCTGCGTTGCCTACGATCCGGATTACTGCAACAACCGGAGCGCTTCTTTGACGTCCGCGCAGGGAAGCTCCGGATCGGCGATGCAAGATTACGATGGAGGACACCAGCGTTCGTTGCCCGTGTTGAGCATGAACGGGGTACCATCCACGCTGCCACTCACCCCTTCACCAAGAACGCCATTAAGCGCTACGACTGAGGCTACGCAGATTTGTCAGTCCGATAAGGCTGAGTGGTTACCAGGTCCCGGCCCTAACTGCACTACTTTCTACTACTGCCACGGGAAGGGCCAGAGACCCATAATGTACGATTGCCCGGAGAATACCATATGGAAGCAATCAGAAAGAGCATGTGTGTCGGGCGATGAATGCCCCCCGTCTGGTGTTGGCTAACCTCTGGCCTGTATTGGTGCTACGTCGCGAGGTGCTTGTTTCACTTAAAAATAGCGAAAGGATGGTTGTCTTTTTATTTAGTAATTTATTTAAATGAAGGAACCCGATGGTTTTGGAGGATTTATTTCGAGTTGTAACCTTGAAACTAGTCATGCATTTGAAATTCAATTCATTTGCTGTTTTGGCAAAAGCAACGCAGAATTAAATTTGATTGTTCCTTAGTTGCAACCTACATTTGAACCCGATCAAAAGCTGAATGAAATTTTTCTCTTTTAATGTATTATTTATTTATCCATTTTGGTCAAATTCAGCATTCTAGTCAAGTAGTATCTTTTACAGTGCCAAAGGATAAGCCAATACCAAAGAGTTTTTAAAAACATGACGTCGCATAAGGTTATGACGTCACAGCAAGATAACCCACCGACACGTGATCAATTATTTTTCATTCTCATATTTTGAGGATATACAAATGCACCAGTTACTCATGTGCTTTTTTGCATTGAGGAGTCTTCAGTCTGAAAATGAAAACCATTTACAATTTTTAGAAAAAAAAACACTAATAATTTTTCAGAAATGGGTGTTCACATGGATACATCAGCTTTTAAGTATTTATACAAAAGTAACGAGATTAACCTTATTCATCTTATACTCTTTTAATATTTGGGTAATTCGAAATGTAGTTTCTTATCAACAGACCAATATTGGTATTTGTTTTAATAGCGATATCATTTAACGCACACGAGTTAAGCGGCGACAGCCGCCTTTTATATATTTATGAAGTCCCGCCTGAGATAAGCCGCATTTGACGCCTGGAACGATTCCAATATACATGTATATTAGGTGTCAGGAAATCTCAATACATAATTACGACGAAGTTCATTTTAATGTGACTGGAACTAGTGAATATCATAGGTGGTCTTATGTTATAATTCAGTTTTATGTCTTGCTCTCTGCTGGCAGTGAAAATTGATTGGCTGATTATTTTATCATAATTATTTTGACTTGAGTCACTCATGTACTGTACTCTGTAACCGTATCTGGCAGATTTTAACTGTTTGCTGCTGTCTGATGGCACTAAAGCAGGCAGTTCACTTAAAATTATAGTGTTTTTTTTTTCTGCCCTACCAGTCTTTGAAACTTTTATATCGTGCATTACAGGGCAGAGGGAAACGGCTGAATACTATCACCAGAATGTGATATTGTAGCACAGTTTCCATTATTTTTCGGCAGTTTTTATTTTATTTATATTCAGGGTAATGCGTTATGATATGCCCCTAGCATTTTCTTGTGACTTTTACGAGTGCGTTTTAACTTTTTTTTGCATGCTATTGATCAACAATGTATTTGTACATACAAGTATGTAAAGCCGAAAAACAGAAGTTAGAAAGATCAAGGACTTGGATGCAATGTGGAATAACTTGACTACGTTTGTTCCTTAGACTGCATTCCCACAGATTTAGATCGATCCATCTGGATCGACCTAACTCCCTGGGGGTTCACGCTAAATTGCTGTCATCCGAGCACGCACGACAGTTAATTACCCCCTTGCAGCTTTTAGTAGGCGGGACAGCCATTTAAGCCGGCTAATACTACAGCAATCTAGTGAGACTCCCCACGGGGATAGATCGATCTAAAATCTGTGGGAATGCAGTCTTAGAATCTCCTTGCACACGAGAAGTGTGATTAACAAGGTACAATATTTATATCTAACCTCACTTATATACTTTTCATATCCTCTTTGCATAGCGAGGAACACTCAAACTGCCAAAAGTGCTCAAAACTTGCAAATGCACGACAATTTGTTCTTACCAGTAAGTCAAAGAGCTTGTCTATATACTTCTCGCCATTTTATGGAAACATTAAACTGCTGAATCTCTCTCATAACGTGCGTGAAAGTTATAGGAAGAGCACTTTATTGTTATATTGCGAAAAGAATGTATTTTAACATGGATACGAGTACAATGCAATTACACCCCGTGAGAAGTACCGGGACACGAGCGTTAAGGTGCTTTTTTAAACATTTTCAAAAAAGCAAACTGTGTTTGTAGTGATTGTGTACCGGTTTTTTATTGGCTATGGACATAAAAGGTCAAATAAGCGTGTCACATACGCCTAGTCAGATGTGCCAATTAATTCTCGCAAAAATCAAGGGTTACGTCAATATTGTTTCTGTATTATTAGTAAAAGTAGGTCACATAAGTAGGTCGTAGTAACCCGTATGTTTATATTTGCAATGGAGGTGTACGTGCATGTAAATGGTTTTTGAAACCAGCATGAAATGTATACAAGGGTATACGATGATGATTGTGGGTATTTTACAGTGGCCCACCGTTTAACTGTACATATGGCTTTTCTTACAAAGAATTGGCATTCTTATTGGTGCTGAGATTTCAACAGTAGGTGCAAAAGACATCTACCCGTCTGTATACTGTGGTAATTAAAGTTAACTTTGTATAATCTAAACATTTGCGTGTGTTTATTTATTTATTTACATTAGTCAAGAGTGAGAAAGAAAGAGAGATAAATGAAGAGAATCATTACGTACAACATGATATTATAAACATTAAAACATGATTAGTTCAAAGAAGCGGCAATATTGAATTATTTTTTAGTTATTTTACGTGTGCATATGGTTGTCCGTTTGAATTTGAATTTAATTTAATTTTAATTGAAAAAAAAAAAACAAAACAATAAGGCCTACACGTTGTGGGGTCCATTAAAATCCAATTTTGATAGAACACAGTAGATAGCATTTTGACAGTGTCAACCGTTATCCGACATTTAATGACTTNTTTTTGAGTTATTTTACGTGTGCATATGGTTGTCCGTTTGAATTTGAATTTAATTTAATTTTAATTGAAAAAAAAAAAAACAATAAGACCTACACGTCCTTTGTGGGGTCCATTAAAATCCAATTTTGATAGAACACAGTAGATAGCATTTTGACAGTGTCAACCGTTATCCGACATTTAATGACTTCGTTTCCTTACACTCTCAAAAGTATAGAGGCAACCTGTACCTCATTACATTTATCCTGTTTTCAAGCAGTTAAACCCTGTCCAGTTCTAAACGTTTAGACCAAATTATTGTTTGAAATTGGTTCGTGAAATCGTTGCTCGTTTTACATCCCATAGCTCACCGCACTAGAACGCTCTCCCCGCTACGCTGGCTAAGTCTTCAGTAACTGTCTCTAAATGTCCATCGAGATAGTGCAGAAAGCTGCAGAAATGACTTTTAGCTTACGCCCAGGGCAATCCTTGAATGTGATTCACCGCATATTTATGGATTTACGTACAGTACCGCCTTCATTTTGTCAAATGATCTACATTTTAGTTTAAAAATTGTCTAAGAACTGGGCAGCAGGCGACGTAATGTTTCATGAAATTATTGATTTCCGAAAGGTCATCTGCTCATAATAAACGATTAAAAATGTTGTAGTTAGTCATTATAAACGAAGAAACGCGTGATGTGGTTTGCCAGCGTTTATGACGAGGGAAAGCAAAATCCATACATCAAACAAACAGAATTAATTTCCAAATAATTTATGGGCGGCGGCGGTTCATTTTTTCAACATTTCGTAGTGCAGTGCGCACCATTTCGTTCAATATTACTCCCACCGGCACGTGTGCAATGGTTAACCAAAGATCGTTTAGAAATGTGTTGGAATCAACATTGAACAACTGCATTTTCTTAGTATTGCTTTTGCGGTAAAAGTGCAGACGATAAGTTTCCCCAGAAAGAAATCATGGATTGTTTAATCTCAACTCTGTTAATTAGTGCAATATGCTCGCCTCATTTCCATTTTCCGTTGGATTTAATTTCGATGGTTTGGAGTATTTGTAAGAAGAGCTCAAGCAACAAGACTGTCTGCTACAATCAAAAGGGTGTGTGACTGTGTTGAAAGAAGTGCTCGAGCACAAACATACGGGGCGATAGTTATACAGACATCTCGAATCAAAGAACCATGATGCAGAAACGGTGATCTTGACAAGATACACTACACAGAATTAATGGTTATATTATGTAAAAGAACGCAGCTTCGTATTGAGGCGTCTAGCGAAAGACGAAAATAAGACGCACATCAGAGAAAGCTGGATTACACGGTTCGGAAAAACATTTGGTTTAAAGACGGCATTTGGTGAAACGGTGCGTTTCGTGGAATTTGAATATCTGGATTGACTTTTGGTAAGGCAGCTAAGACCCAGATTTCCCA